GCCTCGCACCGAGGACCTATCCACGTCATCATTTACCCAGAATGCTTTGTGTGGGAATAAAATGGCTCTGCCCGTCCATGTTAAAATATATTTTTAAAAATGTACAAAACTAAACATCCTACAGTATTTTTACAGTCTTTATTTTACAGTTAAAATATATGTTTATCATATAAAGTCTAATGTTACAACTAATCGTGGATCCCTTTCAGATTATTTCACAGCTTAACAGGTGAGGTGGAAAAGTTGATTTTAACTGTCTTTCATACAGTATGTCTTTAAGAACTCTGGAAAAATAAAGTTTCAGCCTGACAGGACTGATGATGTATTATTATTTGTATAGATTTCTCTGGCAATGAAAAATATAAACCATGGCTAGTAGATACACCCAGCTGTTAGTAAATACAGCTGCAGCTAGCTGTAGCACTTCAGCTGGAACACTTATAGGATAACATTTCTGTCATGACAAGCATACAGTGTGAAAGTGACAACAGTTTAAAGGTTTATGAATTAGCATTTGGAGAGTTAATGTTCTGGACTCAGTCCTCTTTGGTCTCTGCTTTAATAAAACTATCATCAGCTCCTCAGTCTGATCAGGAAATAAATGTATTTCTCCAGAGGAGATCACTCAAACAGCCATCTACTGCTGCTATGATTTGTTTGAAACATTTCTACAGAACCCTACACTGAATGTCATTTTACTAAACGCACAGAAGTAATGTGATTTTAAACTCCAGTTTGGTTTGATGTGTCCAGATTCAGACCCACATCCAGCCTCACGCCATCATCATCCTGCCCAACACCGACGGCATCGAGCTGCTGGTGTGCTACGAGGACGAGGGCGTTTATGTCAACACGTACGGGCGAATCACCAAGGATGTGGTGCTGCAGTGGGGCGAGATGCCCACCTCAGTGGGTGAGTCCCCCACACCCACAMCCACAGCCACTTATTCATGCAGCTGTTGGTTAAACACCAGGAAATGGGTTTGATTCTGGGCTCACCTGCTCCTGAGCAGAAATATTGGTGGGGCAAACACTCAAAGCAATAAATAAGTGAGAATGAAACACTAAAAATGATTTTAAATGCTGTTTAAAATGGTCAAAGTTGTAGAAAAGCACAGAACAAAACAATACACATAAAGCTAAGTGAATAAATAAATTGCATGTATTTATTAGGAGGAGTGAATGTACGTTCAGTGTGTCTGTAGGGTCAGCTCTGTTATCCACCTGAATTACATGTTCTGGGGTTCGTCTGTTTAAGTTGTACAGTATACCACTGTTTGCTGCACTGTGGATAGAGGAACAGAGGGATGTTTTCTTTGAAACGATGCTCTAACTTGTCCGCCTCTCTCCAGCCTACATCCGCTCCAATCAGATCATGGGATGGGGGGAGAAGGCCATAGAGATCCGCTCGGTGGAGACGGGCCACCTGGACGGAGTCTTCATGCACAAGAGAGCCCAGAGGCTGAAGTTCCTCTGTGAGAGAAACGACAAGGTGAGACTTCCTGTCTGAGTTTTTACAGCTCGTCTGTTTGTAGCTTTTATATCAGAGTGAACTGAGTCAGTGAGTCAGACAAACATTTAAACTGAAATAATTGTTTCTTGTTCTGGACTGTATTATTAAGTTATTTGTTTAGCCTGTGTTTGTTCGTCTGTAGAATGAAGCTCAGTTTGTTCTCTTTTTTCTGGACATTTTATCCTGTTAGTCCTGAAGGTAGGATGATTGAAGTCATGCTCCCTGCAGGACACAGAGGTTCCCTAACCATGACTGGTCCAATTTACTTGTTTTGTGCAGCAAATTAAAAGAGGAAGTAAAATAGTACAATAATATGATTTATAGACTGTCTGTGCACAGTTTCAAACAGAACAATGACTCAGATACAGTTATTATGGACATGTAAACATCATTTATTGACCTCAGATTTTGTGTGGCAAGAACTTCCTGTCCCAAGTCATGACAAAAATTAATATTTATATTTAGTTTAGTTTAGTTTAGTTTAGTTTATTTCAGACAAACCT